CCACCGCGATGTTAACCACCCCCACCCGCCCCTCCTACACCTTCCTGTGGCCCACACCCTCCAACCCACATACAATTGCAACACCACCACCCCGATCCACGACCTAGCTCGTGTTTGTATCGTGCCTTCTTATTGCAAGTGTCATTGTATGTAATCCCTAGAATTTCAGTGATAATATTTCTATTTTAATTTGTATTATGGTTTGGGTTCTTCTTACTCTGGTACGATAGGTTCTTTGGATTCAATTAAATATAGGCCTTGCAAAATCAATTTCATAGATTATTACATTGAATGTGTGATCTGTGGCCTTTATTTTTTTTACAGTTATACTTAAAATTTTCTAATGTTTGTTTATATACCCAATTACTTCATATCATCATGAATATAAGGGTAATGTATCAACCTTAAATGAGAATTTCCTTTGCGTATTAGCTTACACATTGTGTTGCCTTTCCCCAATCTCATAAGTATGGAGGCCAAGATTTCAACTCCCAACACTTTTGAGCGGTTCCAAAAATAAAATAAAACAAAATCCCTTAAATGTTTATTGTAATTTCTTTTACCCGAAAGCCTTGAATGAAATTTTTAGTGAGTAATTTACAAGTAGCCGTAACAATCAATATTTTCCTTCTTGTCGAGAGAAGCACATTAAATGGAGTAACTTGCATCATCGTAGGGTCTGATAAGGAATTTGTTCATGCGGCCTTTTACTTTGCATTGTTTAGAGCCTACTTTTTGACTTTAGTTCATGACTCCGGTTGACAGTGAAGGCAACTTAACCTTTGAGCTATAGGCCTTTCCCTCTTCAAGGGAAGCCTATTCAAAGTGAAGAACCTGTGAAATGAATTCTCTATTTAAAGCATCGTTTAATGATTTTGTAAATTAGAGGAATTGGGAGCCTTAGGGATGCACTTTTTTAAGATGGAAAATTGAGAAGCACAAATAGTGTTTTTTGAAATGTTGAGTGGATCAATGGTATTATATCCTCATATTGATTGCATTTTAATATTAAAGATAGAGTTCCAGATACTTTTTCTCATGATGCATTTTATTTTACACTTGTTTTGAGTAAGTTTTGTAGTAATGTTCTCATATTTCTACTTAAGATAATATCTTGTAAGAAAGATGCTGGGAGTTAAAGGTTGTTTATTTTGCTTGTTGAGGTTGTTCCTGAATTTCTTTAGGCTTTCCAGGTCCTAATTCAAAATAAAGTATTCTATATTATACCAAAGCATGATTTCACCTGAAGTTAAGCATGAGATATTGAGATAATGATGATTGAAATTTCTCTAAAATGAATTTGTATGAAGTTTTGATGATTAATCGAATCATAAGATCTATTGGAGCAGGAGCCACTCCTAAAGGTGTTCTTAGAGTCATGGGTGTACCAGGGTTAACTATATATCATGTGAAGAGTCACTTACAGGTAATAAGATTTTATGAAATCATTTTTCCTTTTCATGCTATTATTTTGTTGCTTTTTCCTAACGTTATTTCTATTGCATGTAGAAATATCGTCTAGCGAAGTATATTCCCGATTCTTCATCTGATGGTAAGGCTTATATATTCTTGATAAGTTATGCTTGCAACCTTTTGACTATGAATGCATATATCTTGTAGACATCCATCATAGACTAATTTTCTCTAAATTTTATTCATATAGGCTTGAAGGATGAAAGTAAAGAACCTGGCGATTTACTCTCTGGCTTGGATAGCTCTTCGTAAGTATGAAATTATTTTTAGTACTGTACAAACATGGTAGCCAAAGAGCTTATAGACATAAATCATGATGAACTTTATAACTCCCTCTCTAGAAGAAGTCAACTTTCCAGATCTCATTATTTATCCCGATATTTTTGTAACAACGTAGATGTCTACCTATTATCAGAGATTTTCTGTATATGAATTAACATGACAACTTCTAAATTCATTGTTAATATTTGTAGTATTATATGACAAATTTTATATTTATACTATTCTTCTATTCTTTCAGCTAGTTTGATTTGTTTTAGATTACTCTATAATGTTAAATTTTTTTTTTTTTTTTTTTTAAAGTTTCCTTCCTTCTCTATCCATTTTTCATAGTAAAAATGTGATCCAATTCTACTAACTCGAGCCCTTATATTTTCCTAATATATCTTCTCTTCATCTTATTCAAAAATCCAATTCTAGCCTTCCAAAAGGATCTCCCAATACACTTAGAAACTTTCCAATTATCATCCTGAAGTATCTTTTTGAAGTTCTCCACGTAATATTCAATATTTAAAATCTAATTAAACTTATAAGTATGATGCCTCCGCCCCCCTAAGTTTCATATCCATATGTCCAAAAATGGTAATACAAGAAGTTCTTTCAAAATTTATTTAAATTCAATTTCTATGACCATGTTCTTATAGTCTTGTTCTAATCTTATTCATTTTATGAATTCATGTATACTCAATTCTTTTGATGCAACTATTTCATATCATCATTCAACCCAAGCTAACTGTCCTAACCTTCAACTAATAAAAGCTACGCGGAGGAATATTATAAAAATGTATAATAATGGTGTATGGATCTTGTCCATCTATCCATCAAATTAAATTTTATTTTAGAAGAAATTGTGGATTGTTCATACAGATTGGTTCTCTTGAATTTTTTAACAAGGATCATATTTTTAGAAATCAAGTGGTTGTAGAAATAGATTTTTCTATGAAATGCTCAATGATTTATCTTTTTCATTTCTTTTTAAAGAAAAGTGGATTTTATGTCTCTTCAACCTTGGAATGGATTGTCCTACACCTCTTCTTAGGTTGTGTTTTAGACCTAGTTTTTCTCCAACAATGTTGAAAATCTTTGAGTACAAATTTTTCTTTTATTTTAGGAGGATTGATGTAGGACAAGCATGGATTGTGTCATTCATAGCATTTAGCTGACTTTTCATTTTATTTTCTTATTAGTTCGTGTAAGTGTTTATTTTAATTTCCATGAGTAATATGATCACTTGTTAATTTAGGATAAATTTTAATTGCCATGAGTAATATGATCACTTGTTAATTTAGGATAAATTTGATTGTTCAGTATTAGATTCTAGTATCTCTTATTATAAAGGAAATTCTAAGTATCTTCAAAGCAAGTTAGTTTACTTATCATTTTATTTCTTTTATTAGTTTGTGTTAAGTATTTTATTTAATTTCCATCAGTAATATGACCATTTGTTAATTTAGGCTAAATTCTATTATTTAGTATTATCTTATAGGCTCTTTTATCATAAACAAAATTCCAAGTATCTTCTAATGATAGATCATTATTATTACATGAAATCTGATTCTTTGCATTGCTTCGCCTCGTAGGTTATGTGCTAGATTTCTTGTTTTTTACCTCTTCTTCCTTCTTTATCCTTTATCAATTTCTTCTAGGACTGAATAGATCTTTTGCTATCCTATCTCTACGTTGAAATGTCATCTGTTGAATTCTATTATGATCATACCATTTGTATATGCTCATCAGAGAATACTTATGTCTTTAAAGTATAAAGAACAAAGACCTAACTTGAAGAAGAGTAATTGTAACTTATGTAGTTTACCCGCAAAAGATTCGTGGTCATTCTATTAGTGTTGTTGGATTATCATGTTTCCCTATGTCAATTATAATTTAAATTATGTACAATCGTATTTCGATAGAGATTTTTATTTATTTTATTTTATTTTACCACTAAATTGAAGCAAATTCCACAAATATATTAGCTATGATATAGTTATAGTCCAATGCAGCCTACATAGCACCATATTAGAATTGAAAAAATAATAATCATTAATTGTAGAATGTGAACGTATCTATCAAAATTTCCAAAGATGACAATATTAACTCAGGTCATAAGTGTAGAATATGAATGTATCCAATGCAGCCTTTAAATATGCTTAGATCACAAAATCTTTCATGCAATAAAAAAGTATTTAAAGTATGTAAAATATGCAGTAAATTAAATATACACCAAGTAAAAGAAGTACAAACTAATGTATAGTGGTTCGATGCCAAAGGCCTACCTTTAACTTCTTCTCTCATGTTTTTCCTTACTTTCCTTTTTTTCTATTTTATGGTTGAGAAGCTTTTCTCTTTATCAGGTAATAGATAAATTCTTTCCTTATTTCTACTTTGAGCAAGAAGTCAGCTACTCTAGCGCCATGCATAGTTATACAAAGTATTGCAAAAAAATTGAGATCCAAGATATTTTACTAGAAACTGGGATGGATCTTAAACTGTTGGATTTGCAAAGTTGAGGAATGGAATGTGTAGAGAAAATGAAGATGACTTCTGGGGCAATCTCTATCTAATAACTTTCTCTTTCTCAACTAGTGGCTCTTTGAATTTCCAGCAAAAATCCTCTAGGTGCACTTGGAGTTTAGTATTTTCTTATATGTCAAAGGCAAAAGCTATTAAACCGAATCCTCTTTCACCTATCTTGTCAACCTAAAATTATTCTGATTGTACAGTGTGATCCGTTCATCAACTTCCTCATATATATTAGATGGATTAATTTATTTTATTAAAAAGATTGATTGTATATTATATGATTAGTTTAAATTTTGAACTATCTTAATTAAGGTAACTTGATGCTGTAGGTTAGATTGAGATAATCATCCTAACCATATTGTATGTTATTCATAAAACTATATGATTAGTTAAATTTTTGGATCCCAAAATAATCATACCAAAATAAGTTGGATCATGCAATATAAGGATTAGTTAAATTTTTGAATTATCTTAATTTCGAGAAATTGATCCCAAAGTAATCATACCAAAATAAGTTGGATCATGCAATATAATTGATATCATATAGTACGATTTTGAGATCAATTTTCATTAATTAATATATTTTTAATCTTAATACAATTATTGATATTTAAATTTTAATTCAAACTTTATTGTACAGTTTGATCAGAACATCAACAATTTTTAGTTTAAGTATACTGTAAAATTCATGTTTGTGCAATGCGATCAATTATGAATAGTTTTAATTAATTTTCTGTTTGATTTTATTTTTGCTCAATTCACTTGTCCATGTGTTGATCATTATAACAACCTCAACTTCTGAAAAAAATTATAATACAAGACTCGAGAAAAATAAGAATGACAATCGTGGAATCTTGAAGTGCTGATCTTGAAATCTTCAATTGCTTAACTTAAATTGCTGAGTATGCTAGCTTGAATTGCTTTAATCACTAGCTAGCTTGAATTTCTTGAACTACATACTTCATTTAAGATATTTATTTGTTTTTTAGTATCTTTAGTAAATGTGTTGATCCACCTTTAATCTGAAATGTTAGTACTTAGATCCGTACAAAAAGTATACCAAATTATGTCTGTAATTATCAAAATATTTAAACATAAGTTGAAGCTCAATGAGGTTAACCTCATCCACACTCGCACCAACTAGTGTTTGCATCCACTCCAATGGAAACAAATGCTCTATAAATAGTTCTTGGTGGTTTAACAATGTGGTTTCCCAACAAATTTGCGCCGATGTCCACCTGAAAAAATCTAACTATAAAATTATTTCCTAAAATTAATCATAAATATCTATATCAATACTATATGTGAACAAGGAAAATGCTATGGTAGACCTGATATTTTCACGAGTCCTTTTGCTTACAAATCTTTGGTATAGAGTAGATTCCTCACCCTCCAAACTCTTATGGTTGCTTTCGGCCACCAAATAAAAGTACATTCCCTCATGACCTCAATTGTATTTTAAACACTAAAGGAATGCATCCAATAATTTCCATGCATAATTACAGACAAGCACACCAAGCAAATTGGCCTCGACAATTAGGCCACTATGTGCTATATGCAACATGACCATAAGTACAATCTTTTTCATTATATCATTGTCCTATACTATGGACCTTATGCAAAATAATTACTACCAATTTACTAAATATCATAAGGAATCCAATGCCATTTACTTCATCTAAAATTTTGGGATTTATAAACACAATTATGAGTTTCCAAAGCTTATATATATAAATAAAAGCAATTGAAATTTGAATTGTTAATATTTTCAAATTATAAATTTCATCTTGTATATATATAAATAAAAGCAATTGAAATTTATAGAGACCTAAATAATTGTTAATATTTTCAAATTATAAATTTCATCTTGTTCTCCTCAAATCTTCAGTGGGATGGACATTACTGTCTGACCTCTTTGTCTTCTTCTAGTGGCCACAAGTGATGGTCTATTAACCTTCCCACTAACCTTCTTTTTCTACTCCCTTATTCAATGGATTGAATTATCATCCTTAACCAATGCCAGAAATGTTCACTTAGACCATGTTTGATTTGCTTTTTACCTGATCGACCTTTCTTAGTCGTTTCATGCTTTTTTCTTCTTGTTCTTCGTCCTTCAAATAATAGATAATCATCAAGGTAGATTAAATTTTTAAATTGGGCTTCTTTGTAGTTGAAGAGTCCATTAAGGCTTTTGATGTAAATTTCATCAATGCCTAAAATTAGGCAATTAAATTACATGATTATGTTACTAAACAAAGAACAAACAGAATGTAACCAATGTGAGGAAGGATAACTATTATTTATAAGTCTTTTATTTTCTGCGGCAGCTAATAATTTTTAATAAAATATATATTACTGAATTCGTGATTGGATAAAAATAATATAAATCATTAATATTCCTTATGTTCTAGAAACTCGTCTTTTTTTAAGCAAGTGGATTAAAGTGTAG